TGTTCTTTAGCCTTTAATGTTATTTTAATGTTCTAAGGACCTGAAACACCAACAACAGGCATGCATGAGTCTGCACAGCTCGCTGTAGCACCTGCAGATTACCGACCTACAGCCGTGCACGCCGCGCTTCTGCGGCCGAGCTTCTCTTCACAGCTGAGCTCTGCGAACACACTGAATGTATCAGCTGGAGTTAATACTGCACAGCGGTCGGGGGAAATCATTTGCATCATATTTATGTGAGAGCAGAGATGAATCAGCCTCTGCGAGTCTGTAAGTTGCTGTTCCACAGGGCACGGGTTCACACGGCGTGCAGGAAGTGAAGACCTGAATTTATTTATCCAATGTTTCCGAGCTGGGATGTTCTGATGCTCAGTGCAGGCTGTTTAAATGTGTATGAGGTCGGTTCATTGTGCTGTCGCACACATGACAATATCTGATTTGTTGTTTTTTATTGTGTCTGAATAATTTCGCCTGAGCAGACATGCAAATAAAATCAGGGACACGATGCTCCAAATTGAGACTGTGCAGAAGGAAGCAGACGAATCGCAGCAGGCCGTTAATCCACAGATCGCCGCCTCGCTCTGTCTCTCCGTCGGGCTGTCGTTCTCTAACTCGCACCAACAGGCCGAACCAATCAGCTGTCACGACAGGAAGCCGCTGTGGTCCGAACACTCACAGAGGCTTTTCTCCGTGACCGCGTTGGACAGGTGTGGAAAGTGTCCTGTCGGTCGCCGTTAGCATTCTGACAGCTGAAGCTGTCGGCACGCACTCCTGCGAGGCGTGCTGGACATATCGATGACAGACGACCTCTGGAGGTCAGAAGATCTTCATGTGTTTGTGCATCTCTGTCATAAAGCTGAAGTCTTTCTTTGTTGTTGTCCTGAACTTAATGCCCTGAAGACTTGAATCCATATGAGATCCTCGTCACCTCGTAGGAGTCAGGATGCTCTGTGAAATAAATGCAGTGATTTTATCATAAATTATATTTTATTCATAACTGAACATAAGAACATAACAAATGTGGAAACTGGAAACAACAGACATCTCTTGGTTTTGGGGGGGGGGTTGATAAAAATATGAGCTCCTTGTGAACATGATGGCAGCGACACGTCTGTAAAAGTAGGACAGGTCCATGTTTGCTCTCTAACACCAGTCTGTGATGGTCTGCTTCGTGCTCTCGTTGCTTTCACGATGCTCCAGATGTTGTCAGCTGGTCAGAGGTCTGGACTGCAGGCGGGCCGTTCAGGGCCGGACTCTGCTCCTCTGCGTTAGTCTGAGTTTGGATGGATCTGACCTGTATGGAAGCCCGTTTCTAGTATCCATAACTCGAAATTTCGAGTTACTTTTCTCAAAATTTCGAGTTAGCTCTGCCAATCAAAAATCTACGTGAATGAGGTCGCTTTCTTGTTACCCAGAAGCATATGGCGCAGAGGAACGCGCACTCAAAAAAGGATCCCAACAAATTGGCGCTTTCGCGAGTACGTTTGCTGATAGTAACACCATGTGATTCAGCTAATAACAGGGATTTCATGATTTGTGAAGCCAGGCTGAAAACACTCAGCAATCTGTGCATTCACGACTGGATGTAATACCGGTAGCTTAGCTGTAGCATTTGTAGCTGAGGGCTTCAGCTTCCGGGTAACAAGGAAATGACGTCATTCATGTAGATTACTGATTGGCAGCGCTAACTCGAAATTTTGAGTTAAATATGTCGAAATTTCGAGAAAATAACTCGAAATTTTGAGTTATGGATCCTTTTTTTTTTTTTTTTTTAGTGGCGGAAACGGGCTTCCATAGGCCTGAGATCAGTTTTAAAGGAGCTTCTCTGTATGATTCAGCAGTAACCTGCACGCTGAGCTGCTCGCAGACGCTGGCTTCTGGAAGCGTTCCTGAGCGCGTGCACTGATGTTTTAATGCAGCGCTGCCGACGGTCGCAGATATCGGCCTCGTCCCTGCGCACAGAGACTCCTCCAGGTTCTCTGAGATGCCGATGGTGACGTGCTGTGGATGTTCACAGATGGTGGATGTCTGCCCGTCTTTACACCAGAGAAACTCCGCCTCTCTAAGATGCTCATTTTATACTCGATCACGTGACTGACCTGCTGCCAGATGTTTCTGTTTAGCATCACTTACTTTTCCAGACTTTTGTTGACCTGTCTCGACTTTTTTGAGACTTTTACTAACATATAATTCAAAATGAGTTTATTATGAGTGTGGGTGTGATCGGTTTCCTCTCGTGCTTGGATCAGAGCTCAGCTCTCGTCAGACAGATGCAGCTTCAAATGCTGCTGCGACCTTTTCAGAGCGTTTGATGAACAATAACAAACACACTGGATGTGTTTGTGTCATTTCTGAAATGTTAGCATCATTTTTAGTCCTGCTCCAAAGTTTGGGGTCACTGAGAAACGTCCTTGTTTTTGAAAGAAAAGCACATTTGCTTTCACTTAAAACAACATTAAATTAATCAGAAATGCTCTGACAATTAGTGATTAATGAAATTATTAAAGATGAACAACAGTAATACCTGTGTAGGCGTAGAACGGCTCTTTTCCAGCAAATGTCACTGCAGAGCTTCAGCAGCACACGTGTGAGGAGACGGGCTGACTGCAGTCATGTGAGCGCCGCTGCAAACACACTCAACGAAGCTTAAAGCAGCGAAAATGTCCTCGACGTGGGTCAGAGTGTGTCAGGCTTCCGTCCAGGCAGGTCAGCGTCCCGATCGATAGATTTCCAGCCGATCAGCTGATCTCCAACAATGACGCCGTGGAGCTCCGACCTCGGCCCTGTCAGTCCAAACACCGACTCGTTATGAAGAAGCAGCTGACTCACTGTGTTACTGTGCTGTGTTTCATCTTCCTTCATTCACGCCAACCTGGCCCCGCCCCTCCCTGAGCCTGGTTCTGCCAGAGGTTTCTTCCTGTTAAAGGGGAGTTTTTCCTTCCCACTGTTGCCAAGTGGTCCTGGCCCTGGTCACGGTCCTGGTCCAGGCCCTGGTCATATGCAATGTGAGTGTATTAAACAGCGGTGGCTGTGTGTGCACGGCCATGTTTCAGGTTTTTCTGCTGCAGTATTAAAAGAGAAAAACGAGGCTGTGAGGGGAGCAGCAAACAGCAAACAGCGACGCGTCTGCAGCTTAACAGCAGGACACTGTTGGTGGGAAGAGCCTCGCTGCTGCGACTGAAGCTTCGTTACTGAGACTCGCACAGATCTGAGCACATTAGGACCTCGACAGGGGTCAAACGTGAGCTCGCAGTCACAACGGACCAAAGAGCCGCTTGAGCTCTGCAAATAACCCCAAACGCAAAAATGAGCCCATGAAATGAACATGTTTCCTCTGCCTGTACGTCTGCACTGCATCACGTCAGCGTCGGATCAGCTCTCACACGAAACTAAAGTAAAACAGCCTCAAAGCCGCGACGCACGAGCTCATCGCATGTCAGCTGACTTACAGGCACAAACTGTACCACACAGATTTCAATAACCACTCAGCTGTGCGTGTCAACAGGTAAATGGTTTTTCATTGACAGACCTGCAGGCAGCAGCACAATGATGCGCTGGATGTGAGGAGGGCGGAATAATTATTTCAAACCAGAGCTGATGCTTCACTGAGCACACGACATTTATCAGCAAATTGAGTCAGAGATGGAAGAACGAGAAGAAAGAGACGTGGCAAGAACAGTTACCTCACGCTCACCTGGACCCTAAAAATAATCAAATCAAATAAGCATCAGCCAGAGCGTCATCCTGCCCCTTCACCTGCTCGCCATCTCACCAACACACGACTGCTCAGTGAAACAATCAGTAAAAATGAAAACTGGCTTACAAAACTACTTAAACTGAAGTAAAAATGCCCAGAAAATGTCTTCAGCTTTAGTCTCTACCAAGCAGCTGCAATTCCTTCAATGTGCAGCAGAGGCAGCAGTGAGTCAGCCGCACAGACATGTTAATAAACCCGTTTCCAGTCTGTCCATCCATCTGTTTGCTCCTTTTCAGGGTCGCTGGAGCCTATCCCCGCTGTCTCAGGGTGAGAGGAGGGGTACACCCTGGACAGGTCGCCAGTCTGTCGTGTTTTGTGTTTACTGTGATAGAATAGAATAGAATAGAATAGAATAGAATAGAATAGAATAAACCTTTATTATCCCACGGATGAGAAATCTCGGTGTTACGGAGCTCTTACAGCACGGGAAAAGAAAATATAACAGGAGGACACAGGGTGGTCCTATATGCAGGTAACAATGTACAGAATACAGTAAACAAACAGGCTGGTGAGCAAGACGACCAGAACCATGTTAAGCTGCATCATAGAGTCTCGCTCCTTCCTACACTGAAATGAAGTGGACTGTGAAGTGGGGTGCACCCCTGAAACCAAGTGAACAACACGTTCAGCCATTTATGTTCACAGTGTGTTCACAGAACCTCAGGATTCATGATGACATCATCACACATCATCTGTTTAAGCTCACGGGCGCTCGCTGCGCCGACACAGGAGGAGCAAACGTCAGCGGTGCAGACAGAGGAGGCTCTCTCCACAAAGTTTCACCTCCTGTTTACTCTCTGAGCTCCTCTCTGCCCCCCCCCCCGTCCTTTGGTGGAAGTGTCCAGATTTCACGGACACTTCCTGTCGATCACACAGCATCAGTGACTTTAATAACGCGGCTCATGGTTCTGTCTCTTCGTTGACGTTTGTTTCAGGCAACCTTATTTGACAACAGCACGATCAAACTGGAAATTCTGGCCCCATTTGGTCCCCTGTGACAACATTCTGGACACGCCCCTGTGCTAAATCTGATCATGTGACCGCCTCCTGTCCGCGAGCCTCCGGCTGAGAAACAAAGTGAGTGGGAGGGAGAGTGGGAGGGAGGGAGGGGAGGAATTTGAAACCGGCTCATTTCACTAAACATCATCATCATCATCATCAGTCACCCCCCTCCACCCATCACCAAACCCACCCCACCGCTCTGGGCAATGACGTCAGCGGGGCTTTAAAAGAGCCGCCGTGACGGGACAGAAGCAGAAGATCCTCCGAGCCGCAGACAGACACACACGTGACGAAGATGAACTCCTCCTCGCGCCTCCGCTGCCTCCTCCTGCTGCTCGTCTCCCTCACCGCCTCCATCAGCTGCACCTCCGCCGCGCAGAGAGACTCCAAACTCCGCCTGTTGCTGCACCGGACCCCGCTGCTGGGCTCCAAACAGGTCCGACACGCGCACACGCACGTGCACACACGCACCCATTTCATTTGATTTCAAAAAATCTGTTTGAACTTTAATCGGAGTCTAAAAAGTTTGAAAATGATTTTCTGTGAAAGTTTTGTAGAAAAATGAAAAACTGCAGGAAAAAGTTTGAATGTATTAAATGTAATGAAACTGTAAAGGTGGAGGAAACATCACTGAGTGCAGACAAGGCTGAATATTGTCTTTATGAATGAACAGCCATAAACAAATGTACCAGATAACCAGGAAGCAGCTCCTTTAATGAAAAACACAGAAACCTGCAGCTGGTGGAAAAATCACAGCGGTTTGTTCTCTGTGAACGTTTGAGGGCTTCAGCTCTGATTTCAGCTCTGTTCAAAGAAATCAGAGGCTGAAAACATCATCATCATCATCATCACCATCACTGAATAAAATCAGACAGGAAGCAAAAGGATGCAAATAAAAGCTTCAGTCTTTATTAAAAACTCTCTGAGGCTTTAAATCCAGAGAAACGTTTCCCTCCATCACAGAGCGCTTCAGCTTCACTTTAACTACACACGTCCTGAACCAGTCTAATACCTGACAAACGAGCTGAAATCACACCTTCTCAGTCTGTGAGGGCTTCTTTTATTTCTTCGTCGTGACCTGCGTGAAGCTCTCCTGACGATGACGAGAGGGCGAGGAAAGGTTTGTTTGGCGGCTGTAAATCAGCCGATGATTCATCTGCTCATCGCTCCTTTGTGGATTCTTTATGGTCGAGTCTGGAAAGCCCGAGCGACCGATGAAGACAACGTTACTGCTGTGTGATGTTTCAGACGCTTTCAGCAGCCGCTCGCGTCGTGACTTCAGTCAGACACGAGGTGAACGTTCTGAAGAAGCTCAAACAGCTTCTTCTTCCATCAGTGAAGGTTTGCAGCAGAGATCATGCAGGACTGTGACACTCTGCTGCAGGCGCTCAGCTCTTGCATCCACATCTCAACTGACGTTTCCACCTCGGCTCCACATCAGCTGCTTCTTCTGCAGCTCGACTTTCACCCATAAACATGTGAACACAGCCTCCATCTCTTTACATAGAACGGTCATTTCATCTCAGTGTTGTTCGTACAGCACCGGTTCACACTGTAGGCTAAAGACTCTACAGCAAGAATCAGACGACCCGCGGCGACAGTGGGAAGGAAAGGAGAGAGAGATGGGCAGAGAGGACAAAACTAAAATGTGATGACACACAGCAGGTAGAGATCAGTGCAGACGGTTGGTGTTCAGAGAAGGGCGCGGCATGCTTTTTGAGTAAAACGGAGGATGTGGTTCCTCTCTGCAGCACCGTGACGCCATGAAGACGCCACGCAGACAGGAAACACGACGGCGTCTGACCTCTGCAGACTCACAAACACTCAGAAACTATGACATAAAACCTCTTTTTCTTTTTTGACGTGTGCAGTTTTCTTCAGCATCCCACAAACTGCTCAGCAGGAAGTGAAGGAGTCACAGCTCACCCTTTCACAATAAAGCTTGAGAGTTTTCAGAGCAGGGCTGCACGCTCTAAACTTAGTTTGTGGTTTTCTGCCCCCTGGAGGTTTAAGTGTGTTAGCATCTTTCGCTGATTGGCTTCAACCTCGAGATATCCTGCAGGTCACGGCGATGTGTTTAGAGGAATCGTCTTTGGAACAACTTTACAGATTACTGTGAAAAGTCTTTAGTTACATTAGATGTTTTCAAAACACAACTCATAAAATCTTTAAGGAAAAAGTCAAAAACATGTTTGAACTAAAACGTTAATATTTATCCACCAAATAACAACTGTTGTTACAGCCGGTGTTTCAGCGACACGCTCGAACCTCAGAGAGAAATCAAAACAGCGAAACAAATTTGTCTGTTCAGAAATGTCAATAACTAATTTCACCCACATAATAAATTGTTTGTTTGTGAAACAGTAAATACAAATGAATGGATAATGAAAATATTTTGCTATTAGCATTGAAAACTATACCTTGATCATTTTTCAAAACTACTTATAAAAAAAATTCACTTATAATAAAACAAAACCATTTATAAAAATGTCATTATTATTTCATTTAATTCTCCTCAGGAAAGAATTTATAGTAATATATGAATTAGATTTCAAACAAACATAAACTCACAAAGAAAAAGCTTCTGAACATCAGAAGCTAAATTTATTGAAACTAAATCATCATGATCAGGATTTATTTTATAAAATTTGTTTTGTTTTTTCACAGTGTTACTACTGTCAGTCAGTTTGTAATTATACATTAAACACAAATAACTTCATTAAATCACAAAATAAATGTTATTTTATTATGTTGTGCAAAAAGTAAAATCTTCACTTTATCAATTTTGTTTTTACTACTGAATCTGGGTGATGTCACAGACAGGAGATGTCCCTATATGGTCATCTCTGGCACCAAAGCCCCGCCCACCACCTATTTAAAACAGTTAGATGGTGGGAGATAAAGATCATGCAAAGCTCCCCTCCCCCCTCCCTCACAGAGTAAAAACAGGAACTTCGTTTCACTTTAAGCAGCCGACGCTGAGCTTTGTTGGGCTCCTCACGTTCCCGCACTGAGTTATTCGTGTGTTTTTCATCTTGACGTGTTTTCAGGACATGTCGCGGTCCTCGCTGGCAGAGCTGCTCCTCTCTGACCTCCTGCAGGTGGAGAACGAGGCTCTGGAAGAGGAGAACTTCCCTCTGTCCGACGGTGAACCCGAAGACATCCGCGTCGACCTGGAGCGCGCCGCCGGCAGCGGCCCGCTGCTCGCCCCCCGAGAGAGGAAAGCCGGCTGCAAGAACTTCTTCTGGAAGACCTTCACATCCTGCTGAGAGCCTCCTGCTGTACAGAAACACGAGACTGTCGTGATTAGTTTGGATGAAGTGTTTTGATTTCTCTGAGCTGATTCTTTCCGAATGTAAACTTGATGAAACTATTTTTAATTGTTGGTTTGAATAAAATCAGTTTGAGACAAACACTCGACCCCGTCTGCTGCTCGGGGGGTAAACACCTTCATCACGATGAAGAACTGCAGATTTTATGAAGCTGATTAATGCTGGTGCCGGGGAGGGAGGGCTGAACAATAAAATAACTTTAATGATGGTTAATAAAGAGAGGAAGTGGCTCCATAGCAACCACAGGGAGGAATATTTAATCAAACTGAGATAACAAATCAGATCATAAGTTTCCATTTTATTGATCCTCAGAGGCTGGACTGAACATCACAGCAGAGAAATCAATAAAAATCACCTGTGCAGATGTTCAGGCCATAAGTATGTGGACACGTGTGCACTGACACGGAGGAGACGGGGGGCTGTGGGCTTTCTTCACCACAGAAATCAATCGCTTCACTCAAAAAAGCACATTTCAAAGCCAAACACAATAAGTAGAAAAAGCGACATTTGTGCATGTTTTTTCCAGTTTTAACTTTTCATTTTTTGCACATTTTTAATTTTCGGCTGTGAAACATTTCAACACAGAATGACCAAATAACAGAACCTCGGGTTTATATCAGCTACATGTTTCAGTGTCCTCCCGTTAGCGCTCGCACAAAGCTTCTGTTCCTCTTTGTCAAAGACAGATGATCACATCTGTCAACCTTCCCGCAGCGCTGGCGACATGTCCCCGAGCACGCCTGAACGCAAGGATTTGGTTTTGGCATTGGTGGGGACGGATGATTCAACCATCGAACCCTGCCCCGTTTCTTTTCTTTTTTCCATTTTGTCTTTGCTTCTTGATAAAAGGAGAAGTATACTTGCCTACACATGCTATTCTACCTGCTTTTAAACCGTTTAAAATTACAATTCATAGTTTTATATGTGAATTATATAATGTTAAATTACTATTAAACAAATGACTAAGTATTTTAGGCTTTAGTTTACTTCCATATAAATCAGGTATCATACAAACATAATACAGTCGTGACAATAAAAGAATATGACTTTAAGGACTTAACAACATTACTTCAGTTACACCAACATCTCTGACACATCAGCACTAAGGGAACACTGAGTGACCTGCTGGTTTTGTCCATAAAACTACTCATCTAAGATGACCACAAAGTAAAAGATCTCTCAGCAACATTATGCAACATTTTAGGCACTGTTGCCCCGATCAGGTCAGTGAGCTGGGATGTTTTATTCTAAACATGAACTACTGTTACAGCAACACACATGGACTACATGCCCCACACAACAAACACATGCCTGCTCCTCTCGTTAGCTGAAATGAACTGCTGGTATATTGGTTTTACATCTGTACTGTCCAGTCTCTCCTGGTGGACATGGCATCACATTATTCACGGTTACATACAATTTTAGACTGATGTGGGCCAAGCCTAGCGCCTACTTGCCAACCTTGAGACCTCAGAGTTAGGGAGACATTCAAAGGGGCTGGGGAGGGGGGTATACATGTACATACATATATACAAAAAACTTTTTACAGTGTTTATTTATCGGATAAAATAAGTTAAATGTCACCGTTATTATTGTCCGGCCAGAAACAGGCCGGGGGTGTCCTTTGTGGTCTAAGTGGGCCGGGTCCTCCGAAAGCCAGGTAAACCGGAAATGAGCGACTGTAAAATTGGACGGTCTAGCCTTCAGAATTACGTCACCTGCCGTCTCCTCCTTGCTGTCTAAAATATAACCAGACACTGGTGTAGATGTTCTCACACAGCAGTTTATTCAGCTGTGTGAGAACCCCGGAGGAATCCTCCCGAGGGATTAATAAAGTTTTATTTAATCTAATTTAATCTAATAACTTTAATCTCAGCCAAACCGATTTACTCACCAACAAATAAAACACAACTAAAGCACTGAAAAAGGCCAAACAATAACATGTTTACGTTATTTGACGTTTACACAGCTACATTCTCGCCTGAAAATGTGTTAAAAGTTTATTTTGCGACCCAGAAAGATTAATAAGAGTAATCCGGTCGTGAAGTCTGACGTCACCTAAACTCTGCTGCAGGTCCATATATCAAACGATCACTATGGCATTACTGAGAGTTAAAAACTGTCTAAAGTCTTTCATCTTTAATAAAATGATCAGCGTTCTGCTCTACCAGGTGTAACAATTGAGTTTAACATCCAGGCATCCATGAAAACGGAATTTATGACATTTAACGGAGTTAGAAGTTAGCAGGAAGTTAGCTCGCTAGCTTCTATCTAAATACAATATAGCATGTCCTGACTGCGGGGCTTTGGAAACAAATTAAAACATACAGCTCTGTTATCACTTCCAACATAAAAGAAGACAGAAAACTAAACAGCAGTGACGTTTGTAGGGTTACTGAAGTTGGGCTAGCTGGTATATGATGATGTGCTACGTGACCGCTAGCGACACAGCTATGCTAGCATAATATAAACAAGCTAACTTTTTTTCCACTGGATAAAAGTTAACGTGAGTGTTCTCGGTGGTCAGGAACAAATGTAATCACATGGCAGGATGCTGTAAAAGGACCAAACTTCAGCCAGGAGAACAACTGAGATAATCCATCCACAATACGAGGTTAGTCATTCATATACTGCTGCATGGGCTGGGCTGTAGTTACATCCTAAGGTTTTAAAAACTGGCCTAATCACATTGGCCATATTTGTCACATGAGGTAGGACTCCAGTAGAGACCGTAATTTAACTCTTTCTGCTCCGCTGGCTGAATGAGACACTGACAGATCGTTTTTTTCTTACTATTGGGTTTGTTTTTCTTTACTCGAAGAGATCAAATTATTGGTGGGGACAATTCAATAATCGCTGGATATTGGTGGGGACACGTCCCTTCCGTCCATGCCAAATCTACGCCCTTGCCTGAAAGTGTGGGCTTGGCGTGGCTGAGCACAGGAAAGCTAAACGAGGGCCGACAGACAGACTGGTGTGGAAAAGCGTGTCTACAGTCAGCAACAGAGAAATGAATGCAAACATAATCAGAGCACGAGCCTCCAAACACAGAGCCAATAAAGCCCGATGTTCTGTGAACCTGTCCCCAAAACTCTCACCTCCATTTTAATCACAGCAGCTTCTTCAGCGAGCAGCAGCAGGAAGCGTTTTAATTTTCCATTCCAGTTATCTTTACAATCACCGCGTGTCACACCTGAGTACAGGCTATCTAGTATGAGCAGCTTTCACACTGTTGCTGAGTTATTTCCACACGTTTCACAGCAGAGACGCTGTGTAATTACTGTCTGCTCTCAATGATGCTGGAGGGAGCGAGGATGGAAATTAAACTCGCTGAAAAAAGACTCGACTAAAACTTCACAACTTCAGCCAGACACTCTCACACTATTCATCACCGTGTCCATGAACGAATCGCTGAAATCAGTATGTTTCTGACTGCTTCTTACTTTTACTCCCTACATTTTAAAAACACTCTCGTTACTTTATGTGTGACGTATCTGAGTCACAGTGAGGCAGCGCTG